GAGCACCATCACCGCAACTCATACCATTGCATCAGTCACCGCCATCGCTAGTCCTACCCAACCGCTGCCGCCATTGCCATATCAAGAACAGATCTGTCCAAACCTGGCAAATCTGGAAGACAAATAAACAAGAGACAGGAGAAGGGGCTGGAGGAGGACGAGCGGATCTGGAGAAAGAATATGAGGGAAGGAAGGAGACAGAGGAGGAGCAGATCTTGAGAGAGAAAAAGAGGCGTGAAAGAATATTGGGGGGGAGAAGAAGAAGGGAAAGTGAGAAATAGAATAGCAGAGACAAGGCCAAGAAATGAGGGAGGAGAGAGAGGGTGATAAATGAGTGGGGTATTTTGGGTAGTTTGTGTATGAAGAATTGAAATGGGAAGATTATTTCCGGACAGAGAAAAAGGAGAAACGGGAAGATTATTTCCGGACGGAGGGAATAACAATCAAATCATACTAGACAAGATCAAACTTTAATAAAATCAGATCAGATCAAATCAGACAAAAAGAACAAGATCTAAATGCACTCACGACTTTTTCTTAATACCAAACATCAACTTATTTCACCAATTTAACTAGACCAATTGGTTTAAAAAATACCCCAATTCTCATTGTTTTTTTATCTACATACTCTCTTCGTCCTAAAGAGACCTACCCATGTGAAAATGACATGAGGTTTCCCAGTTGGTTGAAAAGTGAGTTGAAAAGTACCGTGTTTCATAAGAAATAAAGTAGAATTTATGTGCATAGTTGATGGATGAGAGTGTTTTCAATTGTTTAAATGATTTTGGGACAATTTACACCCACAATGCCAATAATTTCAGCCATTTCCATCAAAACTGTCTGTAATCAAATGGGCTCCTAACGGTAACTATAACATTAATACATACCTCAGAGTATCCCGCAAAGCACATAAAAGGGGGGATATTGTCAAAGAGAAATGGATATATATAATTAGTGTCCCCAACCGGTTTTTTCTCCAAACTTTCAAAGGACTAAATAAGCAATCATATATATAGATCTTGGTTTTCTTGACCCACCGTAAGCCGAAGAGATTGTAATACACTGGAACGAACTCATATTCTGCAAGTGCCATGCAGCATTGTTATACACTTATGCTTGCAGCTCCTGAGATGCCAATTTGAAAAACTCAATAAAATAAGTCAAGATATGGAGAGTAACTTCAGTCAAGAATGTGAAGTTATACATTAGCCACAAACAAAAACAAAAACATCAAAGAGAGCTATAGTGACCTACTGTGAAAAATTAAAAAAATCGGTATCTTGGTCTGGCAGTTATATACTAGTAATAAATGAAATTTGGAAATGAAAATTTCAACTATCCCAGATGAATAGAGTGTAATTCAGTTTCTTACTTGATTGTTGAAGATGAGGAAACAGAGACCTCATTTACATCCCAAAATTGCACATCTGCACAAATTCCATATCAGAGTCCACATATTTAGTCCATAGATTCTTATATTGATTCATGCCGATGTCTAGCCATGGTTTCATGTCCCCGTTGAAATGGATAACGGCGGCATTGTTGATTTCATCCATGCCAACACTCGGATTATAACCAAGACCAAGTACATGCCATGACCTATCCAATGATTTGGTTGTTGAGTAGAACGTGATCAGACCAGGCGGCAGCGTTCCCAGCTTCCATAAGGTTCTGTCCTCATTCTAATTACAACAAACGATCAATTTATAATAACAAGAAAAGATCTTTGGTAATAACAGGTGAACTGAAAAACAAATAAGAAGGTCCACCGCTCTGTTACGAGTGTGGCTGGATACTTGGATATGACAGACTTGTCCGAGCCAGAGGCTAACAAAGGATGAGTCTCACCATGAAGATATAGAGCAAGATTCTAACATCATATATACTTACAAAAACTAGGTGGACACAGCAAATAGATTCCTAAATCTATTGCACCATATAGTACTTTGTATGAACTAAAATAGAATACCAATACAAAGAGGAAACATAATACTAACTTAATATGGAGTAGTAGTAATAATAATAATAACAATAATACATATAATAATGGAAAACCAATACTAATATACAGAGCATAATATTATGCTCGTGCTACATTCTTGAATTGAATCTGTAGCGTTCTACTGAGATATATTCAATACAAGTAAAGTTTATTTGGATGGAGAAGCGGATTGAAAAAAATAACAGAACACTCACCAAGTTTTGCCAATAATGATACTGCTCAGTCAATTTTTCACGCCTCCAACCATCAAGGTCAAATATATTCATTCCAAATGCCCATGCACATGCCTTGGGATTGAACTTTTCGCGGATGAGAGGATGAGAGAAGTTCAAGTATTGGGCATAGCGGTGAAAAGATCCAAAGCAGGTCTCAACGGCTCCATTTACCTTCCCACCCATATCAATATTCCAAAGTGCTGTCAAATCCTTTTGGACCACAACATCATCGTCCAAAAACAAAATCCGGGGTAAGTCTGGATACATTTCTGGCAAATAAAACCGTAAGTGATTCAAAATCGACAAATATTTGGGGTTCCTGAATTTCATGTTGTTCACTTCCTTAGTTGCATTCTCTGCCGTATTCTGGAAGTAGAACTTCTGCAAACTTGCAGACTCAAGTTGTCTGATCACCGGAACATACGAAGAAGTTAAGAATTTGAAATCCTCTATGGATTTTATTTCAATATGAGCACCCCCACCTACTGGCTTCATCTTAAACCAGACCTTTATGGCGGCCAAATTCATCTTGTCAGTAACAATATGGAAAACGTGTTTCCATGGTTCCTTTGCATTTTTAATGACTGAATTCACTACCACAGAGACTGCAATGACATTATCGGAAAAAATTGCATAATGATACAAAGTGGGGTCCTCAAACTCGGGCTTAGGAGGTTCGTCTCTGTACTTATCGGGGTTGGCAATTCTCTCCCCCATAAGCCTCATAGCTACACAATGCAAGCTCTTTGGAGTGGATTTAGCAGCTATCGAACTGGCAAAAGCACCATTTTTCTTAGCCTTCTGAAGCAACTCACTAACTGCAAAGATTGTATCCTTCAACTTTTGAATTTTTAGCTGATTATCATAGGACTCTTTCGTTTCAGTAATCATCGACCTAGTAACCTTGATCTTATCCTTCACCTCCTTCTCAAACTGTCTCAAAACATCTTCATCCATAGGGCCATCGGTTTGAAACAAAGCAGTTTGGTAATTTGGTTTCATTTGAAGATCTGAGAAAATCTGTGCCAATTCTTCAAACAATTTGAGCTGCTTAGAGATCTCAAGCTTGAGTTTCCTTGCATAGGCCGCATAGACATTCACAAGTGCTATATGATCACTAGCTTGCTGATGTACTAAATCTAATCTAGTCTTTAAGGGATCTGATTGCAACGCCAGAAATGTTCTGTGCACAATCACGTTACCAGATGTCTGCATTTGCAGGTTTACAATAAAGCATCATTCATTACAAATCCATCAACTTAGAAACGGATCAGTATAAGAAAGATTCTGTAATAAACTTATATAGCAAATCATGACATACACATATCAGAAATAATATTAGGCATAGAAAATACAAAGAATTGGCTCAAAACTAAAGTTCCAAAATCATATCCTTAACTTCAATCCCTTCTTCTCAGATCCCCACCATATACCAAAATTGAAAAAAATTGATAAGAGTGAGCTCACACGGAAACTATTTTGTCTATATATTTGGATGATCAATATCAGTTATCAGGCACCTTCTTAATTAGCTAGAAGCATAAGTAAATTGATTCCATTATTAATTCCTGAAATATGATCCGCGTATACAAATCCAGAACATGCAGGCATCGAAAAAGGTAAATGTAAAGAGATATAGACATACGGAGCCGCCGTGATTGGGGTGAGAGGAGAAGAGGACGGATAGAGTGGCGACGATAAGTAGTGTGAACATGGCGGAGACGAAGACGCGGTAGGAGAAGAAGTTTCGAAGTGCCGATCCGCCGGCACCGCGGCCACCGCGGACTGCAACCGCCATTCCAGATCTCTCCGACGGATCAAACGGCCGGAATCGACGTGGATCCGCGCGTGTGTCCCTAACACTGGAATTTATATGCGGATTATGCGAAAATTAAACCCAAAACATGAGGATTCGAGCGTGCGATTGAATGGGATTTGGAGGCGAGTGAGAGTCAGCTGAGAATTGAAGATCTGAAGGGTGAAGCTGAGAGAGAGATACCAGTCCCGCGTCGGTGGGGGGTTTTCCCGAACTCTTTTTTTTTAATCCCGGTGAATCTATGTGAAGATGTGTGGCCCACTGTCGAATATTTTCTTCACAGTCGGCCCATTCTAAATTACGGAGTAAAAAGGTCCGTTTGGTTAGCATTTTTCTCTAAAAATTTGATTCCAATTTTTTTTTGTGTTTGGTAGGGGTGGAAGAAAAATATTTTCTCGCAGGAAGAAAATAATTTTTTTACTTTCAAAAGAAAATTCCTACTCCCGACCACCGCCACCCACATGCCCCAACCCCGACCACCCACTTCACCTGTCTACCGCTGCATCTTGCCTCTTATCCCTCATCCAAACATCCTCCGCTACTCTCCAACCCACATCATCTATCCTTAGGCCGTATCCCTTCTTTCTTCTAATCTGCACCAACAACCCCACTCTGTGCCACTTGCTCTCATGTTGCTAAAATAGTTTTAAACTATCTTTAAAACATATTTTTAAATATCAATTTTGGAAACTTAACAATAAAAATATTTTTTTTAAGAAAAAATCCCTTTCCACCAAATATTCGAAAGTGTAGGAGGAAATTAATTTTCATTAGAAATCATTTTTCTCCGAAAAATATTTTTTCTGAAAAGATTTTTCTTTAACCAAACGCACCGTAGCATTACGACTTACATGTGCTTTTGAATGTCTTTAAAAAATGCTCTATAGATGTCAAAAAAACATTTCTAGTATAATTTTTTATCGATATTAAAAGCACTTTCATTTTCGAGTAAAATTTCCATTTTATCCCAACTGATTATTAGTTTACATATCACATACTCCGTAATATTTATTTACTATGATTCTACAAATTACACTACTCCCTATAATATTATATCTATTCATTATTATTTTCTTGCAATGTCCAGCAAACCAATTCTTAAAGCGGGCTTGTTAAATTTATAGGATTGAAACGATTCGTAAAAGGGGCTCGTGGGCTGCCTTATTCAAGACTTGGACCTAGAGTTTCCAGCCCACATATGAGAAGTCAGAAGTGTGAGTCCAAAAATCCTAAGGGTCCGTTTGGTATACGAAATTGATGGAATTGGAACTGAATTGGAATTTAAATTCCATCCGATTCAATTCCATAGAATTGAATTCACCAATTCCAATTCATTTTTTGTACTATCAATTCCAAATCTATATAATTTTTGTGCTACCAAACATCAGAATTGGATTTGAAGTCTTCAACTTCAATTCCATAGTTTGAATTTCGTATACCAAACGGAGCCTAAAGGTATTACCATTTGGTATATACCATCTGTATCCCTAAATTATTTCAAACTTTGTTCTTTGTCGTAATTGAAATGATTGAATAAATTTATTACCAATCATAATGCCGTACACCAATGAAAATATATCCAAAGTATGTACTAAACATATCTATTAATATTTTGATAGTTTATACTAACATAAAATGTCAGTGCGACAAAAAAATTTATACTAATATTTTGTGTGTGGGAAATCACTACATTGATACAAAGTAAAAGTGACAATTAGGGGGTGTATTCAATTTATATTTTATAAGATTCTGATAGATTTGGAATATATATTTTGGTATACAATGAGGTTAATTCTAAATTTATTGAGGTCATTATTGGATAAACGCGAGCTTGCAAATTCAACTCGGAACATTGGCAAAAGCTACTTACTGTAGAATATGAGCAATCATAAGGTAAAAATGGAATGTCACGTGCTAGTGGGAAACTTTTCGACCAATGAAAAATAGTCTTATTAGCGAGTGGCAAGTGAGTGGACTGACATGTCTTCAGTGACAAATCGTTGTTTTTATTAGTCTTTTATTCATTTTTTGGCTTTGGGGTGTGATAGAATAAATCAAAATGGATCTCTAAACTGTCTGCGCTTGTTTAATTAATGAAGTAACAGTTAGTCAAGCAATGCAACTTTCGACGTTGAGCCGGGGGTCTCTTTGGAAACAGCCTCTCTACTTTCGAGTAGGGACAAGGTCTGCGTACACACACCCTCCCCAGACCCTACTCTTGTGGGATTTAACTGGGTTGTTGTTGTTGTTTATTCATTTTTTGCCATGTTTGAATTATTTAAAGTTATTTTACCTATTTATTTTATCATAATAATATTTATATAAACTCAGAGTTATTTAACTTATCTTTTTTCATAAAGATACTTCTACTTTTTAAAAAAAAAAAAAAAATTATGTGAAAAAAATAAAACAAAAAAATGACCATAATTTTTTTTGCAACTTTTTACATTTTTGATATACTTTGATTGTTTAAAATTATTTTAGTTATTTCTTTTATCATAAAAAAATTTATACATCCTCAAAAGATTCATTTAAAGAGTATTTCTTCCCAACAGAAAAAGAGAAAAATAGAGAAACAAGAAGAGTGGCTCGGGGATGACACCGTGAGAGAGGTGAAATTCTATCTCAACGCATGGCAAAGCATTCAAAGAGGTCGAGATGACAATAAAATACAACTGCAAAAAAAAACTCCTTATACCACTCACTCCGTCCTAAAACAATATTCTCGTTTGTATTTACGATGTTTAACCGAATTTATGTTCAATTTAATTTATTTGATTGTAGGTGTAAAATTAATTTATATATTTAAAAACTATACAAAAGTTCTACAAAACAAGAGGTGACAAGATTATATTATTTTATTAAATAACTAACAAAAATAGGTAAAGAAAGTGATTTAAATTTGACCGTGTGAATAGTAACTGAGAAGATAATTTTAGGACGGAAGGAGTACTCCTATTTGTTTTATTTTTATTTTTTGCAGTCAAGTATTTTCAACTTTTAACATATAATTAATTAAAATATACTCCGTATATCGTATACTCCATCCTTTCAATTTTAATTATCCCACTTTCCTTTTCGCTCTTTCCATAAACAAAGTTGTCATTTCTTTTTTTGTCAAATAATTTTAGATCAAATGTCATATTTACCCTGTCCATCTAATCCTACTTATTCACCTTCATCGACCGTAGACCTACGCCTCCGGACTTCACCGCTTCCTCCAGACTTCACTACCGTAGATCTACTATATCGTCGCCTCTCCCTTTAAAATATTTCATATAATAAAATTATTTTTTATCAGTCATTTTCATTTAATTTGAATTTAAAATTTATGAATAATTTTAATTGAAAAAAATTAAAAATGGATAAATATTCAGTAACGGAACGAGTATTTTGTCTAAGAATCAACTTTGTATTCCTCCACTTTCTCTTCTAAGAAAATTAGATATAGATTATGTGAAAACTTTGATTCATTCTATTCTAAAAAAAATCAAACATACAATTTTCACTTTTCAACAATTTTTTTCAAAGTTTGTGAAGTCAATTCAAGCCTTAAAAATGGGAAAAATGCTAGGGAATGGGGTGGTGTACATTTGGGGTACACCAAAAGAGAAAGATGACAATCCAGTTGCACCAGGAATCGAAGAAGATGACCCCTCAGCTCTCTAATCTTTTTGACACCTTTTAGCTCCCTGATTTTACTTTACTTTATGGACAGTTTGGGGTTTTTTTTGTGTGGAATGGGATGGCCTGGCCCCTCCCAAATTTGTTGTACCCTTGTACTCCCCGAGTACATATATCATCCATTTGTACCTCTCAATCTACGGCTATTTCTCTTACATCAGTATTAATATTTATTTTCGAGTAATTAAAATATTGATTTTCGACTAATTGAATATTCATTTTCGGGCACAATTAAATTTAGAAAAATAAGCATATTGTTATTCGAAAATAAATATTTAATTGCTTGGAATGAGTATTTAATTACTCGTAAATGTGTACTAATCACATATCTACCAGTTGTACGGTATATATAGACTTTTTATCAATCATAATACCTTTTCAAAAGAAAAACTAGGTACAACAGATCTTCCACTAATAAACAATCAATATACCACTTCCGTCATTGACTATTATTTTTAATTTTTTTTTTCAAATCAAAATTTATACTTTTACTTCAAATTGAATAAAAGTGATACCATCTCTCTCTTTAAAATTAATTTTTCATTTGACTCTTCACATTGTTTAATGCAACAAATTGACCATTAATATCTCTATTTTTATATAAATATATATTATAAAAAAACATATTTCAAAATTATGTTTTAAAAGGTATATACTAATACTACCTCCGTCCCACTGTCTTTATCCACTTTTGACTTTTGTAACTGTTCATCTAAGCACTTTGACTCATCAAATTCTCTCAATGTGTAAGCCTAAATATAGTCATGTGTGATCTTGTTTGATTTGTCTTAACATATATATTATTAATATATAATTTCTATTAATATATAAATTACAAGATAAAATGGATTAAAGAAGTGCATTGAATGGTGTGCCAAAAGGTAAGTGGACAAAGACAGTGGGATGGAGGGAGTATTAAATTTATATGAAAATTCAATTATTTTATTTGTAATATGTAGTTGAATTTCAAAAAATTTGACCATGAAATTCAACAAGAAGGTTATTTTCAAGATATAGAGATTATTAGATATAGATACAAAAATAATTTCACGAGTATTAGATTTATATTATAAAAAAATTCAAAATAATACTTTACCTAATTAACATACCATATACTCTATATATACTCTTTTCGTTTCAATAAATTATTCTCTTTTTAATTTTTAGCCAAAATAAGAAAAGTATAATTATTGTTGACTTTCTAATTTTATTCCTGATGTGATAGTTAGATTATTAGTGAAAAAGTATTAAGTGATAGATAGAGTATGAAAAATATGAGTACAAGTGATTTTTCAATAAAAAAGTGAAATTATTTTGGGAAAATGAAAGAAATGAAAGAGGAAATGTTTATTAAAAGGGGGGAGTATTATTTAAGTATATGTTAAAGATTAAAAATAATATAGCGTAAAAAATCAAATTAGGACAAAATCCTCATAGATGTGGGAGTAGGGGTGGACACGGTACGGTTCCGGGACGGTTCCGGTTCCGGAACCGCCTGTTCCGGTACCGCCACCCCTTGGTACTGGTACCGGTACCGGACCGGCCGGTACCGGTTCCGGTTCCCGGACCGGCGGTTCCGGTACCGGACCGGCCGGTTTTCGGCCACCCCCAAATTATTTTTTTTTTACTTTTTTATTAAATTTTTAAAGTGTAAATATAAAATTGTTAAAGGAAAGAATGAAATAAAAAAATCTAAAAATGCAAAAATTTTGAGAAATTGGCATACCGAACTTGGAAAATACAAAAGTTTCATAGTGGAATTTACAAGAGTTTCATACCGGAATCGGTTTCATAGTGGAACCGAAAAATACAAGAGTTTCATACCGGAACCGGAAAATACAAGAGCCATTGGGCTGACGCCTGACCTGCTTCTTTTCCTGGATAGGGAATTTGTAAGCTTCGTATCCATGTTGCTTCCTTTCCTAGTGGTTGTGCTTCCTTTCCTTTTGAGAATTGCATTTTAAAAAAATCTAAAAGTGCAAGAGTTTTGAGAATTGCAGCTCATGGACACGAAAAGTAAAAAAAAAAACAGATGGGTACCGGAACCGCCGGTGCCGGTACCGAAAAATGGGTACCGGAACCGGTACCGGATGGGACGGTTCCGGTACCCGTTCCCGGAACCGGTGAACGTAACGGCCGGCGGTGACGGTGGCGGGTACTGGCGGTACCGTTGCCGGTCACGGTACCTTACCGGTACCGTGTCCACCCCTATGTGGGAGTAGATCGAAGACATCCTAATCACCCTCACGCATCTCTGCAAATTTATTCTTTGTTCGTATCAACTTTGTTTAATGGCAAAGATGTACTCCGAGTAAATTAAAAGTTCTTAGACATAGAATTATAGGAATAGAACTTTTAGTTTGTGAAAATTTACTTAAATTGCAATATAGGATTATATGTTTTATTTTCCAATGTAAGATCATTAGTCATTATTTAAATAAATATTCATTATCCTTGGACATTACTAAATGATGTTTAAAAAATTAATTTATACATTGAAAAATGATTTATATTTTAATTTTATTTAGTTTATTTGATTTCTTAACCAAAAATAAAGTATATACAACATTTTGAGTTTTTGATTTAGTTGGTTGTGAGACAAAAGAGACCAAACTAGGGGAAAGGTAAGTCGTCGTCCAAGCAATGCATTTCAAGAGTGAGGAATTTCCGAAGCTCGGCGGCGTCTTCCCTCAGCCGAGCATTCTCGGCAACGGTTCGCCGATACCCCTCCGCGAGGCGGCCGAGCCGGTGGCAGAGGAGCTGGTTTTCGCCGCGGAGCCAGAGGAGGTGCGACCAGAGCTCACGCAGCTGCCTTTGCCTCCGCATCCGGGACCGCCTCGCCGACTCCCGGTTCGATATCATTCTCCTCTCTTTCCTCTCGTCGTTTTTGTCTTCCAGCCCCCGCCGCGGCCCCGGCGGTGGTTGCCGGAGACAATGAGGATGATCAGAGCGGTGACGGGAGGTTGGGCCGGTGTGGGGGAGGCGCGTGATGTCGGAGGGTTGCATTGTTTAAGGCGGTGTTTGGGGGAGGCTTCAAGAAATCAGCTCCATTTATATAGGACGATGAACCTCCAAAGAGTCAAAGACACATAAAATGTAAAGACTTTCTAAAATGTAACGAATTCCTAAATATAGGACCATATATTTTTATGTTTCAATATAGGACTATTGATCATTATCTATTAATTATTATTCAACTAAACATTCAACATCATTTCGACATTATTCTTCTTCCTATTCATTATTAAGTCATATTTAGGAAATAAAAAAATTTAAGTCCTACATTGGGAAATGACTTGTGTTTTAGTCTTATTTAATACAAATTTCACTTTTAATTTTAATTTTTGAATTATTTGAAATCATTATTTCAATTCATTACTTTACATATTCGGCAAGTTATAAATTTTGTGAATATTTTATTTGTGACTCCATCATTACTCTTATTTGTTACTCCCTTCCTCTTTGAATTATCCTATTCTTTACAACAACATGCAAAATTTAATTATATTTTAATTTAATATAAAAATAAAAATTACTAAACTTACATATTCAAAAATTATATAAAAAATTTACAAAACAAATGTGACATGTTTATTTTATTTTATTAAATTATCAATTAAATTACATGCACATACACAAATTATATATCAAATGTCTCAAAAAGTAAAGATGGTGATAATTTAAGGACAGAAAGAGTAAATTATTAAAAACAAATCTTAATTTGTTTTAAGAGTTGTCCTTCCATAATCCTAAGCTCTTTTATGTGAAGTGTGGATTTTTTCACACTTTTTGATGGACTAACATGTGAATCTTTTACTCTTTTCAAAAAACTAACTTCATTCGTGGGTGTTTATATAAAGTAAGTCTATAAAATGAGTATGAAATTTAGATCTGTAGAAGAATTTGTCTTATTTTAAAGTGAATTTTTTCACTAAATAGGATTAAAATATAAGTCATTTTCCAGTGTAAGACTTAAACTTTTTTATTCTCTAAATAAGAGTTAATAATGTTTAGTGGGGGTAATAATGTCTAGTAATAATGGACATTTAGTTAAATAATGACTAATTTATAATGACCAAAACTCCTACATTGGAGAATAAACATATATGATCATATATTGAAAAAAGAGTAAATTCCATAATTGATCCTTTATAACAGGGGGGTTTCCATATTTAGTCCTCTATTATCAAATATTACCTCGTAGTCCTTTTTTTAAGAGTGTCTTTCCACAAATGGTCCTTTTTTATCTTCTGTCATGTTGGTTTTAATTTAAAGACTAAAAGTATAATTTGACATCAACATTATGTCTAGTGACGTGTTCTGATATTGGTTAAGCGCATAACACAAAAATAATGACTATGATTGTGGGCTAGGATTCCGACGAAAGACCACATTTGTAGACTATGGTTGTAGTAGAAAGCGACTGTAATTCACAAACAATGGAAACGGGACAGTTTTTGGAATTGTATATGACAAAAAAGATATATTATCATTGTGAAATTACACTTTTAGTTCTCAAATTAACACCAACATGATAGAAGATTTAAAAAGACTATTTGTAGAAAGATACCTATAAAAGAATGTCCACTGGGGTAATATTTGATAATAGAGGACTAAATAGGAAAACCTCCCTGTTATAAAGAACTAATTATAGAATTTACTCTTGAAAAAATCATTATGTTTTAGTCATATTTAGGTAAATTTCTGTATTTTAAATACAATAAAATATATTATCCTTCTCATCTCATTATCTTTGTTTTTTACCATTGTCTCTCTCGACACCTTTTCCCCCTTTGTCGCATTCCATATATCTTATGTCAAACTTGTGTGCTTCAAAAATAAAAACTTATTTATCCTTTATCTAGATTTTATACTCTTTATTACTCCCTCCGTCCCAGAAAGAATGTTACAGTTACTATTCCGGCCTCTCGATAATTTTTATTTGTGTACTCGTTTTGGTTGACCATTTGATAAAATAAAATATTCTTGTCGCATATTGTTTTGTAGAACTTTTCATGTACTTTTGAATAGTGTAATTTTTACTTTTTATTACTCTACCAATTTGAAAATATAATGATTTTAAAAGAGATGATATTTTACACGTCGTTCGAAATGTTGCAAATAATTTAGGACGGAGGGAGTAATACTTAGAACTAGCTGTTTTGGATCGGAATTTTAGAATTAGATAGTTGATGGGATTAAAAAATTAGGAATATTGGAAGGAGTTAGGAACAATTAAAAGAAATTGAAAAAATGGGAAGATGTTGCCAAAAACACCAAGGTTCGATGACTTGGGGGCGCTCCGGTGCCCCGTTCGTAAAATTGACGATAAATTCCCATACCCCGTCCCGACCCAAACAATGTCATGAGAACTTTGATGTTTTAAATATTACTCGTAACTCGTAAGAGGTTACTATAAAATTTTTAAAATTTAAGAAAAATTCACACAATTTTTAAAGATTTAAATGACACACGAAACTACTCCCAATGAGAAATTTAGTGATTGATGATGTTAGACATGGAAAAGTTGTATGGTCGTTGTTGAACAGTGTACAAAACAGTTGCTAATTAATCCCTGTCGGAGTCCGATCAATCATGATGATATATGGTCCATGAGAAGACACACTCCACTCCACTCCAAAGTTTGTACCCTAATTTGTACCCCGCAGTTTTGCACCAACACTTTGTGTTGGTGTAAAACTAATTTTTGTTAAACACACCAACATTTGTGTCCGTGTGAATATTTATTAACGCACCAACACTTGTGTCGGTGTAAACCATCGAAATGTTTGTGCAAGCCTGTGGTGTACAAATGGGGTATATTTTTTGGTGTAAGTGTAGCATGGTCCTTATTCTACTCCTAAGACAGAGACCCTACTTGGGTTTCATATCAAGACAAAAATAGACATACAGTGAATTAGTGATATTATCTTTCGGGTACTAATTTATAGTGTATGTTTCGGTTTATGATGTTTGACTTGAATTATTTTCAAATCATTTTATATGATAAATGATATATAGTTAAAAAAATTGAAATTTCATACTCCATATTAAAATACTACATCAAAGAATCTACAAAACTAGCAGTGATAATAATACTTTATTTTATCAAATTGCTAACGAAAATAAAGAAAGAATGTGAATGAAATTTAACCATGTGAATAGTAAACAGACAGTATAAATTGGGAGAGAGAAAGTACTTAATTAATATTGAAATAAAAGGGTGAAATTATAGGAGGGTTTTTACTTTTTAGAGGTCATGTGATTATGTGAATGTTGTGGTACACAAGACCAGATGACTTTTTTAATAATGTTAAGTTTGGAGGTATAAACATCGCTCTGTCCAAAAAAAAACTTTTCAGTTACTATTACTGATGGTGTAAATTACTCGACCGGTCAAACTATACTAGACCGGGTCTAGAATAGTTTGCTTGATTCGGCAAAGTAAGGAAGGTAAAAACACGCAGGTTGACCGGTAGGACTTTAGGTGGAACACCTGTAGCCCGATTTATACTATAACGAAGAATGCACGGGTGCTTTTACAAGGAAATTTAGAGAGAATGAATTCGGATCCTTTTTCTGAGGTTTACAAGGGGTATATATACTAAGCTGGGGGGACAGGTCCACGTGCGCCCACGTGGGAGCACGCTGCTGATGTGGTGCGAGATGACTGTCCCTGATCCGCCTTGTCATCTTGCGAGGGGGATTACCCTCCTTGTCACGTTCTGGCTTGAAAATATTCCTCCAGCATCTCTGCAATTCCAGCCACTACAGTCCAAGTCCTTTTGGACTCCTCCTGCCGACACTCCCCAATCTCTAAAAGTTGCACCGCTTGATTTCTGAAGGTTTGGATCAATTGTCTTCGGAATTGGTTCCTGCTGATGGAGTAATCTGGCCGGTATACTATCCGAAGTGTACCGGTCAACTTTTTGGTCAATCGGTGGTCCATTTGCCGACGATTCAGATCTCTCTTCAAAGTTTGACCTCTCTGACCGGTCAACTATCCGGTCCTGACCTTTGACCGGTCGTGGGTGAAATACACCCATCAATTACGAATTCTCAATAACTTATACTCCCTCTGTCTCCCTGTATTTGTCCACATTTGACTTTTGGAACTGTTCATCTAAGCATTTTGACTCATCAAATTCTCTCAATGTGTAAGCCTAAATATAATCATGTGTGATCTTGTTTGATTTGTCTTAACATATAGAATATTAATATATAATTTTTATAATTTTTAATATACAAATTACAAGATAAAATGGATTAAAGAAGTGCATTGGATGGTGTGCAAAAATGAAAGTGGACAAATACAGGGGGACGGAGGGAGTATTTCTTTGCATAATTTCATGAATCGTTTGATAAGATAAAATTTTTTTTTCGAATCATGTTTTGTAGAACTTTTGATATAAATTCGAACAACGTAATTTATGCTCTTTTATGGTACACTAATTTGTAAAGAAAATAATTTTTAAATTTCTTTTATACATTTTTAAAATAGAAAATTTATTGTTGAAGTGAGAGAATAATTCAGCGTAAAAAGTGACAGACACAAAGAATTAAATAGAGAAAGAACATAATTTATTACTAAATGCACGCCTCAAAAGAGTATTTTTAATTTGGATTCTCAGGTGGGAGTAAAAATGTTGGAAAGTGACACAGGTTACGTTGAAAAAAACAGCAAACGCACGAATGGAGTACAACTAAGGTTGACCGAGGCGTGACCGGGGCGTGAAAGGGTAAGAGCATCAACAATGACAAGACGAAAATGGAATGTCACACGGTGACATGGAACATTTTAACTAATAAAAAAATAGTCTAGTCAACGTGTGACAAGTAAATGGAGTGACAAGTCCTACAATGGCAAGTCATTATTTCTTATCACTTTTTTACATTTTTTTATGTTTTTTAAACGTAAAAAAATATTTTTATTATTTATTTTATTATAAAATTATTCTATTTTCTTGTACATTTTTTTTCATTAAAAATTTTTTAAAAAATTATTTTAAAAAAAAGAAAAAAGTAATATGAAGTACCACACTCATGCCTCACCAAGCAATGCATTTTGGTCTTGTCATGCCATAATATGAGTGGAAGAAGCTGATGTGGCAGTGCAAGGC